TGTGAGTTACCCCCTCACCTCATGAATTCTAATCATGAAAACAACCCTGTGGTTGGTCACTCTGTGTGGTTTTTTTCTTCAGTGGAAAAAGAAAAAGGAAACAACTGTCTCCAGTGTAGAAAATAGCTTGAAATGGTTGAAGTGGTTTCAGCTGAATTAATTTACTGGAGATAAGGATGTCTTAGCCTTACTTTACCAAGTAGACTCAAGTATCTTTGTTAGCCAAGAGCATCCCTGATCATCTTTGACAGATACAATATTGGACAAAAATGCCATAGTAGCCCATGTATTATCTTCAGTACTAGAAGAATGTTAATATATTCCATAAGGCTGGTTTGTGTCTGCAACTAGAATGTATACTTTGGCTAATTACTTAGTGGAGTCCTTTACGAAAGGAGTAACATCTGTGCTTATCAATTAACTACTGAGGGACTTTTTAAAAGCCTAAAGTGTTTAGGTACAGAACATCTGAGAAATTATTGACTTCTGATTTGACTTATCTTTATATTCTAGAGATGATGTTCTGTTGATACACTGTGTCTATACTACAAAGAGAAATTTTCGCATCGAATATTGTCACCATGTTAAACAAATCTCTAATAGAATTAGGTGGGCCCAGACTATGAAATGGCTTCCTTTCCTCAGCCACCATTACAACAATTAACTTTTTCCAAGAGCAATTCTATTTTTACTGTTTATAACCTTTATGTAAATCATTTCTGATATATGTAATGAACAGAAGTATATTATGATTTTAGATCTTTAAAACAGTTTTATTTCATCAATTATTCAATCCTAATTAGGTGTGTTGGCATTTATGTTGATAGAGATTGATTTACTCATGATTGAATATTTTGACATGCTTTGATTCATGCCTGTTGCTTTTATAATTGGGTAGGTTATAAAAAGTCTAAAAATAAACTTTACCATTAGCTTGGGAAACCAGGAAAAAACAAAGTAAACTATTAATAGAATTAATAAGTATTATATTTAAATTGTGAGCTGGGAAACAAGAACTGCTGGAGTATATTATTCAGAGCTCAGCACTTACGAGTCCAAGTGCTGGGAGATATGGAGGTCTGTTCGTATTAGCAGTATAGAGTTTTTGAGTTTAATAAAAATGATAGGTCAAGATAGTTATTGCTGATTTGATCACTACAAAGGAAATAGGATATGCCAGAATATTAAGTCCTATGTATCATCCTGAATAACTTGAAATAAATACGAAACATCTTTTCAACACCTGAGCATCATTTGGCTCAAAGCCTGAAAAAAATTCACCCATCTAAGTGGATCAATGGCAAATGAGAGCTTGCTGGCAATTCATAAGTAATTCATAAATTGGCAATTCCTGAATACTTAACAGCAGCTATTTTGAGGTCTGTATTAGACTGGTTGATTTCCTGTGGCGTTTCAGGGAATAACTAATGAAATTCATGTTGGAAGAATGCTTTGAATGTACAAAAACCAAGAGCTAGCTAAATCAGAGAGATACAGCATGTAACCTCTTTGCCAGCTTGCCCAGAAAATAATATTTTTCAATAATCATGATGGATATTGAGCATTAAGAAATATTATGAATACCCAGTCTAAGGAAGTAAATACACTCCATCTAATTTCACAGACAAGTGGAAAGAGAAAAGCACACTTGAGTGGACTAAAATAACAATATGCTATGAGACTTTCAAAGTATTACAAATTAATAAAAGCACCAAGAGTCAGGGTTAGGGTTGTGAGTTTCCACAATCAAAAATGCCCACGCTAGACCACTGCCTGACATGATTTTAGTTGTAACAAGGACAAGATTGATGAAAATAAGCTGATCAGAGTCCAACACACTAAAATGGGAGAGTGAGAGGAGCTTTACATTATGTATATATGTTAGTTGTCTGCATGTATATGTGTGAGAGAAATGTTAAAAACTGTAGCATGCTTTCTAGAATCAAGGATTCGTTAAAGAAGTTTTGATAACTGATTATTTTAGATAACCACTTTACTTAGATCAGGGCTTTTCAACCAGTGGTACGGGTACCACCTGTGGTACATTGCCACCTGGCAGGTGGTACCCGACCATCCTAGAAAAGTGGTAGCCGGGGACGGGAATGAGCTGAACCAGCACAGCATCGCACAAGCCTGAGCGAGAGATGGCTGGAGCTGCAGGGCTGTCAGGGCTTAGCGGAAGCACCAGGATCAGCACCAGACTCCAGCTGGAGCACTGATCCTGGTGCTTCTGCTGAGCCCAGAAGAAGCACCGATCAGCTGGAATGTTGCAGCATCTCCAGGGTCTTGTGATTTACATTTAGATGCTTGGCAACTGATTCATATTTATGACGGTCACAGTGTCTTAGGGTCATGTGAAGTGATCAAAACCTGCTGCAACCACCCAGCAGATGGGGGGAATAAAAACCAAACACCCCCCACCCCACCCCCGCTGCCAATCCTCAACAGAAATGCTCACAACAATGAAAACCTCGAACATGAGGAAGAGTGCCACCAGGTGGGCAGGTGGGTGTCTTGCTTGGCTGTGGCTTGGGAGGCATTTTTTTCAGCGCCATTGTAACTTTCAACAGTCACTAAGCGAAGTGTTGTAAGTCAAGGACTACCTGTACTTTATCACTTTTTTCCCTTTTTTTTTTTTTTGATCAAGTTTTTGACACCTTGCTAGGCGACTGGTGGTACTCAGATATTGCCATATCCTAAAAGTGATACAATGGGTGAAAAGGTTGAAAAGCCCTGACTTAGATGATGAGTAATGTGTAGTTGTGCTGGAATTGAGACATTTAGTAATTGGGCAATTACCTTCAAGGTTTGATTCAATAAATGTATGCAATCGTTCACTCTGTGCTGTTGCCTTCTTGACAATTGTAACAAAAAAGGAGAGGAAAATTGCTCCATATTACCTCTCTTCTAAGTGACCCAGCTTTCTTCCCTGAGCTACCATTATGGCTCCAACAGTGGATCTCAAAAGTTCTTGATGCTGCAAGCCTGAAATCTATTCTTCGCTAACCTGTGAACAGACCTGATGTATCTGTGTAGCTAGCATGTGGCTTTGCACATGAACAACAAATTCCACAAGCAAGAGAAAAAGACGAAGAAAAAGAACAGTAATTTCCTTGCAATTGGTGTTCAGAGACATGCTGCCCCCAACTGGAAGGTACCATTAGTTGAAACCAATAAGAGCTTGGTGGATTTCTTCTTCCTTGTTCTCCCTCCCTATACTTTTTTAAAGCTATCCAAGTTGTGGTCATTACATCATAATATATTCCACAGGTCAATTATGCGCTGCATGAAGAATTGCTTCTTTTTTTAAAAAAAGTGTTCTTGATCTGGCCAACTGTTGTGAAGGGTGTTTTCTTCACCAGGGAAAGAATTCTTCGGTCATCCACCACAGTTGTTTTCCGTGGTCTCCCGGGTCTTTTGGTGTTGCTGAGCTCACCGTTGCGTTCCTTTTTTTTGAGAATGTTGTTTTGGCCACGCCTAATGTTCTTGCTATCTCTCTGATGGGTTTGTTTTGTTTCTTCAGCCTAATGATGGCTTGCTTCACTGATAGTGACAGCTCTTTGGATCTCATCTTGAGAGTTGACAGCAACAGATTCCAAATGCAAATAGCACACTTGAAATGAACTCTGGGCCTTTTATCTGCACATTGTAATTGGGGTAATGAGGGAATATCACACACCTGGCCATGGAACAGCTGAGAAGCCAATTGTCCCATTACCTTTGGTCCCTTAACAAGTGGGAGGCACATATGCAAACTGCTGTAAGTGCTACCCCGTTCACCTGAGTTGGATGTACATACCCTCAAATTAAAGCTGACAGTCTGCAGTTAAAGCACATTGTGTTTGTTTCATCCCAACTCCATTGTGGTGGTGTATAGAGCCAAAGATGTTCGAATTGTGTCGATATCCCAATATTTCTGGACCTGATTGTAGAACCTGGATGTTTTTACATCTCTACTCCCAAGGATACTATTAAGAATGCCCTGTTTTTCCTGTACAGGGATAATTATTTTTAACAACAAATGGGAATTAAAATGCAAGCTATATTATTCTGAGGCTAAATGCCTAGCAATACAGGTGTCTTAGTTCCAAAAAATGAACTCCAAGGCAAAAAAGAATTTCCTTAGAGAACATTTTGATTTGGGTACATAATAACAGCACGTTTAAAGGTGAACCCAAAACTGAAACCCCCCCAAAGGTTACAAAGTTGAAAACTTAAACTTCCTATCCCCACAATGAGTCATAGATCACATTGCCCAATTAACTACTTGCCCAGGCTTTCTAATGCCGGCCAAAATGCACTTAGCAATGACCTTGGTTCCCACAGAATAACTTATTGTTATGTCTAAGATAAAACACTCATCCCCCCTCCCAATTCTGGGCCAACCAAAAATGGCCTCAGCTACTTTGTTTTGAGAGTTGACAACAGGATGTTCTTAAACCAGACAGGAAGATGCCAAAGAACCCCATCTGCACTTCTTTTTAGTGTCAACTATGATAAGATCAAGCTAATGACTGTTTGAGTCTCTGTGAATTCTATATCAAGAGTCACCAACCCCCCGGGCTGAGTCCTATTGGAAATTGGGCCGCCAAAGCAGCAGGCAAGCGTGTGAAGCTACATTTGCGCATACTTGGGATTTAGGTTACAAGCATGAGGCCATTTCCCCCCCCCCCCGGTCATAGCTGCCACCAACCCACAGAACCAGAAAGGTTGGGGACCCCTGCTGTATATGATCTGAACTCTTAGACCTTGCTGGTTGGCAGCCCAGTGACCATTATAATTTTATAGTTTAATAAAACTGATTTGGGCTTCTCTAGTTGCTTTGGCTTATTCTTAAGGTTGTTCCCACCAAGATGTATTGTGGAAGGGTTGCAAACAGTAGTGTAATTACATAATAGAATTACCCAGGTCATTAAGAGCAACAATACAAGTTTCTTTTATCAGCACTTAGGAAAGTTAATACAGAACAGAGATAAAATGGCTGTAGTTGAGAATAAGAATACTCTAGAGAAATCAAATGTTTATTTGTATAAAGAGAATACCAGGCGTGTACTGATTTTTTTCAGGAAGAGAATCTGAGGAAATCACATTAAGTTCTTAATCTTATTTATCAGTTTATATCAAACATATTTATATAAATGACCTATGTGGGAGGAAGCAGAGGATAGATCTACAATGTACTTTTAGTTAATGATAGGAGGATAGATTGCACCAACTGCCTAAGCTATAAAACTGTCACCTGGCTGACAGTTATTATTTATTATTTATTGGTAAAATGTAGAGCTAATGTAGTCACTGGTCAAACTCAACATGAGAAGCCCTAAATCTGTCCAATATGTAAATCCAAATTAAGCAACTCAAGGCATTTTAGATGCTGATTTCTATCTCAGCATTCTTCTGAAACTCTCATTCTATCTCACTAACAACCCTCACATTGAGAAAAGGCAAAGCGATCTTTTAAGTCGGAGACCAACCTCAAAATGTTGGAATTAAACTGTTTCAAATTCCTCACAGAGTTAGGTAACTAGCTGATTATAGCTAAAAGGACATCTTGTTATAACCTCAGCTGCCAATAGGATACACCATACAATCAGGTCGCAGGTTTGGAATCTTCAGGCACTACAACTTTAACAATACCTTCCATGACAATTTTGCCATTTTGGACAACTGTACATGACACTGTAATATAAGCAAGACATCTCTTCAGTTTCTTCACTTCTGCTGAAGCCAAGACCTCTTCTCCAACATATAAAGGAGATGGAAAATTAATTTCCTGAGAAAGGAAGATACACCCAGGCCCAGGCATTTTTGTACCTAGGACAGCTGAAATAAGTCCATTGATCAAAACACCATGTACAACTGTTCTCCCAAATCTTGATTTCTTTGCATATTCTTCATCCAAGTGTAATGGGTTTGTATCCCCTGTTAATTCAGAAAAGGTAACAATATCCTTTGAGGTGAACTTCTTAATTATTTCAGCTTTGTCTCCAACATTTATGTGTAAAAGCTGAACACGTGAAGAATGAGTGAAGAATGGCATGGACACACTTGGCTTTGTGGAAAATATTCTCCCGAGTCTCACACAAAAAAATCTGTATTTGGGCAATGTCATCAGCATTTTGGTGTTATACAAACCAAAATCAACCGAATAATTAAGCTAGCACCATTTCTCTGCTATTCCCAGCTAATGCAAGAAGAAATGGAGAAGTCTAGAGAGAAAGGAAAAAGAAATTTCAAATAGAAGCACAAAAACAATTCCTTTTGCATAAAAGAACATCCAGGCAAGTTTAAGCAAATAAATAGCAGTTGATTCATTTCCTTGGAGACCAAATTTAATAATTGCAAGCCTAGGACAGGATGGTTAAGTGGCTGAACTCAAACATTTCAAATAGAATGAGATGAAAGGAAATGATGTCGTACGTAATGGTGGATTTCAAGAAATATAAGTTGCTAATAGCAACAGGCTATTTGTACTCAGAACAGAAAAAGCTGGGATGAAATTATTCTCCAAAAAAAAAAAAAAAAAAGAAAAATAGTAATAAAATAAAAGCAATCAACAGTAAAGCAGCAGACAGTAAACTAAACACACTCTTAGAAAAATATATTTATCCTGTTTCTCTGGCCAGGTTAAAAAAACTATTGAAAAAATATAAAGCAGTAAAACACAGAACACCAAATATATACCTACACACAGTGAAAGTCAACTATAATACTTTAAGGAAAACACAGGACAAGCCTGGAAAGAAATGCATGTGAATATAGTCTATGGGTGGCCAATCTTCAATATAAGATCTAAAAGTGCCAGAGCAATAATCTGTTTTATTGAACAAATAAGGTTTTCAACTGATTATTGCTCAATTCTTACCTGTATCACCCTGAAGGCACACTTTCTGTTCTGGTAAGAACCAAGCAGTGATAAAGCACTCCACAGTTTTGCTAGGCCACTGTATAAATAATAGCATTGGATATATTAATGAAATGACTAATCAGTAGGCAAGTAAAGTAAGCCATAAATATTTCATGGTAAATAGAATCAAGGTTCAATGAGCTACGAGCCATATCTGTCCAGAAATTAGATCAAAATAAACTTGAGGCTGAAATTTCTCAATATTTATGCTAAGATAACAACTGATGCTTTCCTGATAAAACAATTGCATTTAATGTAATTAATGTAGTGAGTCCCCTTTATGGATTACTGCCTTGTCGTGGCGAAGGGGCTTGCGTAACTCAATGAAGCTATAAGCTATGCCGTGCAGGGCCACCCAAGACGGACAGGTTATAGCAGAGAATTCTGACAAAATGTGATCCACTGGAGAAGGAAATGGCAAACCACTCCAGTATCTTTGCCATGAAAACCCCATGGACAGTACTAAAAGAAAAAAGATATGACGCTGGAAGATGAGCCCCTCAGGTCGGAAGGTGTCCAATATGCTACTGGGGAAGAGCAGAGGGCTAGTACTAGTAGCGCCAGAAAGAATGAAGCAACTGGGCCAAAGCCGAAAGGACGCTCAGCTGTGGATATATCTGGTGGTGAAAGGAAAGTCCGATGCTGTAAAGACTTTTTCTCCATAGGAACCTGGAATGTAAGATCCATGAATCAAGGCAAGCTAGACGTAGTCAAAAAAGAGATGACAAGACTGAACATCGACATCTTAGGAATCAGCGAACTAAAATGGACAGGAATGGGTGAATTTAACTCAGATGACCATCAGGTATACTACTGTGGGCAAGAATCCCTCAGAAGAAATGGAGTAGCCTTCATAGTCAATAAAAGAATAGGAAAAGCAATACTGGGATACAATCCCCAAAATGACAGAATGATCTCAATTCGAATCCAAGGCAAACCATTCAATATTACAGTAGTCCAAATCTATGCGCCAACCACTGGTGCTGAAGAGGATGAAATTGACCGGTTCTATGAAGCCCTACAGCACCTTATAGAATTAACACCAAAAAATGATGTCCTTATCATCATGGGGGATTGGAATGCTAAGGTAGGAAGCCAAAAGATAACCGGAATAACAGGCAAGTTTGGCCTTGGAGTACAAAATGAAGCAGGGCACAGGCTAATAGAATTTTGTCAAGAGAATACGATGGTCATAACAAACACTCTTTTCCAACAACCCAAGAGACGGCTCTACACATGGACATCACCAGATGGTCAACATAGAAATCAGATTGACTATGTGCTCTGCAGCCAAAGATGGAGAAGCTCTATACAGTCAGTAAAAACAAGACCAGGAGCTGACTGTGGCTCAGATCATGAGCTTCTCGTTGCAAAATTTAGGCTTAAATTGAAAAAAGTAGGGAAAAGCACTAGGCCACTCAGGTATGAACTAAATCATATTCCTGATGAATATACAGTAGAGGTGACAAATAGATTTAAGGAATTGATCTGATAGACAGAGTGCCTGAAGAACTATGGATGGAAGTTCGCAACATTGTACAAGAGGTAGCAACTAAAACCAACCCAAAGAAAAAGAAATGCAAGAAAGCAAAATGGCTTTCTGAGGAAGCTTTGCAAATAGCTGAGGAAAGAAGGGAAGCGAAAGGCAAAGGAGAAAGAGAAAGATACACCCAATTGAATGCAGAATTCCAGAGAGTAGCTAGAAGAGATAAGAATGCCTTCTTAAATGAACAGTGCAAAGAAATAGAAGAAAACAACAGAATAGGGAGGACCAGAGATCTCTTCAAGAAAATTGGAGATATGAAGGGAACGTTTCATGCAAAGATGGGCATGATAAAGGACCAAAATGGCAGAGACCTAACAGAGGCAGAAGAGATTAAGAAGAGATGGCAAAACTACACAGAAGAACTATACAAGAATGAGCTTAACATCCCAGATAACCACAATGAGATGGTCACTGACCTCGAACCAGACATCCTAGAATGTGAAGTGAAATGGGCCTTAGAAAATCTGAGCAATAACAAAGCTAGTGGAGGTGACAGTATTCCAGCTGAGCTATTCAAAATCTTAAAAGACGATGCAGTAAAAGTGCTACACTCAATTTGCCAGCAAATTTGGAAATCTCAACAGTGGCCACAGGATTGGAAAAGGTCAGTTTACATTCCAATTCCAAAGAAAGGCAATACCAAAGAATGTTCAAACTATCGCACCATTGCACTCATTTCACATGCTAGTAAAGTTATGCTTAAAATCCTACAAGCTAGACTCCAGCAGTATGTGGATCGAGAATTACCAGAAGTACAGGCAGGATTTCGAAGAGGCAGAGGAACTAGAGATCAAATTGCCAACATACGCTGGATCATGGAGAAAGCTAGGGAGTTCCAGAAAAAACATCTACTTCTGCTTCATTGACTATGCTAAAGCCTTTGATTGTGTGGATCACAACAAATTGTGGCAAGTCTTAAAGAGATAGGAGTACTAGACCATCTTATTTGTCTCTTGAGAAACCTATATGCGGATCAAGAAGCAACAGTGAGAACTGGACACGGAACCACTGATTGGTTCAAAATTGGGAAAGGAGTCCGGCAAGGCTGTATACTGTCGCCCTGCCTATTTAACGTATATGCAGAGCACATCATGAGAAAGGCAGGGCTAGATGAATCAAAAGTTGGAATTAAGATTGCCGGGAGAAATATCAACAACCTAAGATATGCAGATGATACCACTCTAATGGCAGAAAGTGAAGAGGAACTAAAGAGCCTCTTGATGCGGGTGAAGAAGGAGAGTGCAAAAGTTGGCTTGAAACTCAACATTAAGAAAACAAAATCATGGCATCTGGCCCTCTCAATTCCTGGCAAATAGATGGGGAAGAAATGGAGGTAGTGACAGATTTTATTTTTCTGGGCTCCAAGATCACCTCAGATGGGGACTGCAGCCAAGAAATTAAAAGACGCTCCTGGGGAGGAAAGCTATGGCAAATCTAGACAGCATTCTAAAAAGCAGAGACATCACCCTGCCAACAAAAGTGCGTATAGTCCAGGCCATGGTTTTCCCAGTTGCAATGTATGGCTGTGAAAGTTGGACCATAAGAAAGGCTGAGCGTAAAAGAATTGAGGCCTTTGAACTATGGTGCTGGAGAAGACTTCTGCGAGTCCCTTGGACTGCAAGGCGTTCAAACCGGTCAGTCCTAGAAGAGATCAACCCAACTGCTCTTTAGAAGGCCAGATCCTGAAGTTGAAACTCAAGTACTTTGGCCACCTAATGAGAAGGAAGGATTCACTGGAGAAGAGCCTAATGCTGGGAAAGATTGAGGGCAATAGAAGAACGGGACGACAGAGAATGAGATGGCTGGATGGAGTCACTAAAGCAGTAGGTGTGAACTTAAATGGACTCCAGAAGATGGTAGAAGACAGGAAGACCTGGAGGAACGTTGTCCATGGGGTCACGATGGGTCGGACACGACTTCGCAATCAACAACAACAACAATGTAGTGAGTATGGGGTCTGTTCCATTTATATACAGCAGTTTGCTCTGCCAGTATTAGTAAGGGTATGGCTTTCTCCTTGGTAATTTCTTAATTAGGTATTGTTTTCTGCTTTATTGTTTGACTGGTGTTCATCCCTGCTTATCTGGGTGTAGGCTGCTGGAGAGGACGAGCAGAGTTCATCCATGAACTCCAACTAGCAATCAGAAGACACATTGAAAGCTACTTAATCTCATAACTATGGACAGATTCAACCATAGTTTCAACTAGGAAATAGTAAGCAATCTAGATCAAGCCAAATCCAAAAATGCTAGAGAATTTCTGGAAACTAGGCATTCAGACCAATCAGCCATCAATGGACACATAGAGATAACTCCACAAACCAATGTTTCTCAATCTTAGCAACCTCAAGATATGTGCACTTCAACTCCCAGAATTTCCCAGCGAGCAGGGGAGAAGTCTACACATCTTAAAGCTGCCAAGTTTGAAAAACAATGGTACAAGATTTATGATACCTTGCTTGAATGTAAAAAAGAATTTTCTTCATTTTTACTATTATGCTAGAAAACATTCCTTTATCTAACCATACGTGCCAAGAAAATTTATTCAAAATGTCTTACGCATTAGATACTCTAAGTATGGCAATCAATGTTTTTTCCTCATATGTCAAAACATCAACAGGCAACGCAGAACCAACCTAAAAGGAAACATGCCACTGTTACTAGGATGCACTTTAAAGTCTCAAAGTCATTAAGAAAGTTCTCATAAGAAGTTCAGTTCTATTCCACCACTGCAATTACTTTAATTTGATGTAATTACAAACCTAGTATTTAAAGTAAACTCAATGAAGAATGATCTGTAAGTTTTTTCAATATATTTCATTACAAGTCCAAACTTATAGGACAGTGATGGCGAACCTTTTAGAGACCGAGTGCCCCAAAACTGCACCCCACCCCCGTCCCTGCTCCGCCCTGTCCACTGGGCCACTCACCACCTCCATGGCCCTCCACAGATCACCCAGGCAGCCCAGCAGTGCTATGGCGGCCACGCCCTCCGCCCATGCCCCGCAACATCATCTGCGTGCGATAGGGTGCAAGGGCAGAGTCTTGTCCCCGCTGCCCGGCTACCATGTCCTTGGCTGCGCAGCTTCGCATGGGCCGCGCCCGGGGTGACTCTCCTCCAGGGGGGCTGCTAGTGAGGAAGGGGTCGTGGGAGGAGGCGGGGCTGGGGGGATGGTGCATGTGCCCACAGAGAGGGCCCCGAGTGCCGCCTCTGGCATCCGTGCCATAGCTTCACCACCACTATTATAGGATATAATGGAGAATAATGCACAAAATGAGATGATCTTGAATATTTGTTTTCATCATTTTCATTCTTTTTTTTAATCTACTTTTCTTGTACACATTTTAATCACCAAGGCTCCTTATATCTGGGAGAAACAGCTAGTACTTGTAATTGGAGGCATCGCCTGATCCTGCCTCATTTAAAACATAGATGATTCTTGTGCTGCCAAAAACCATAAATGAAGTTTGGGGAAGGGTTATTTATCTGTTTGGCTACAAATGACAGCAAGGGACATGGCAACCATGCAATTGAATTTCTGCCCTTCTTTAAATCTTTGGCGACTTGAGTGGTTAAAACAGATGCATGGCCAATCAATGTTTGACATCTCTTATTATTTTCCCCATATAACAAAACATTGCTGTCATTTGATACTAGATTTTAGTAATGAAGTTATTATGAAGCAGGAAATAGTGCCAGAGTATAAAGAAGAAACCACTCTGTTTTAAAGGATATGAACTAACACTAGACAAAGGCTGATATGCAAAGAAGCAGCTTATTAACAACCTGAATCCTAGCTCAGTGTTGTATACAACTACAACTGCAGTTAGTAAAAGTTTTCCTAATACAGAGATTTCAATCAAACCACTTTTTACAGCCTTCCATTCCAATCCCCCCTTCTGAATATACTATAAATAAATCAGAAGTTGCAAAGGAGTCAAAATTATTTCAAAATAATTCAAACAAAAATTACATACCTCACCATGGAGCCGTTTCAAAGCAGAGATGATAAGTTGCTTGAAATCAACAGCATTTAAACTTATGCCAGCTTCTTCAAACTCCCTACAATTCATTTTTTTTGTAATAAGGTTTATTAGTAAGTATAATAAGCCACAAATATGTTAAATGTTATACAGAACTGAGCAGAAGTGAATGGGAATATTTAAAAAAAGGGATCTGAACTTACAAATGGATCTTCAAATAATGATATTGAGAAACATTCTTCAGTACTATTCTTTCATAGGCAGCAGGCTTGATGCCCTTATTTTCATCATCCAATTCAGTCATCTTATGATGGTCATTTCTAAAAGACAGAACAGTCCATTCTGATATATTGCCAAGTTCTAAGCTCAAAATTACAAACTCTAATTATGATTGTCACCTGTGCTTTAAAAATATATGCACTGGCAAGGAGGGGAAATGTCTTGTTTTCATTCTATTAGTTTACTAGGCAATTTTAAGCCAGGTTGTATAAGTTTGTTAGTAGTTATTTCCATAGTGGCCATAGGTGAGTCCAAAGAAACAAGCTTAGAGAATCAGAGGAAGAGGGGGAATGTCCACAGCTTAACTGGTATTTCACAGTCAATCACTAGCTCTCTTCAATTAAAGTTATCTGGTAATACAATCGTTTTGATCCAGAACAAGAAGCATCTTTAAGCTATCAAGATTAACAGAAACTCACTTTTATTTTACTTTATCCTAAAATAAGTTAAACGCCCATGCAAAAAGATCAGATGAAAATGCAAGCTTGTAATTTCTGTGGACCAATCTATAGAAAGATAAATTGAAAGCAATTTGATTTCAGCAAAGCCAGGCTAAAGACACTTGGCTCCCCTCAGAATGTTTCCAGCCGGAATCTTGCTCTGCTAAAAACCTTTTTACTCAAACTGTTCTGTTTTATCCCATCAGTGATATGACAAAAACAATACTTTTTCATTGCATCCAGACAATACATACAGTACACAATTTAAGCACACAAATGTTACCTACAAAGGTTGGGTACCAATAACGTTTAAGTGTTACCAATAAAGACGAATATTTGTAGCTCGGGGTTGAAATGAGGGGTCCTTGGTGCTTGCTGTCTGAGGTTGGTTGTTTTTTTTTGCAGGCGTTTCATTATCCAAACTAGATAACATCATCAGTGCAAAGCAGAAAATGCTTCCAGCATCCATCTCTAACGTGATACCCTTCAGCGTATCATCACAGGCCAGTGGCATTGACGGGAGGTGCATTGATAAGATATCGGGAAATGGAATTTAGGGAGGTTAATGGAACTTTGTGGATTTTGTCTTGATCAGCATTAAGATTTCTGCATCTTACCCCCTTTAAACAAATGCGTATCATTGAACTGGGCCAAAACTGATGTTCAGATCAGGCTAAGTGACGAAACTTGTGGGTATAAAAGACGACAGGATGCACCTCTTTCTCCTAGTTGTAAAATGCGCCTGGAGGATACCCAGTCCCTCCCTTTCTGTCAAAGATCACCGCTACTCACACCGAGACCCTACAACGAGCACGGATCACTCATTCTCGCCAGTTCCAACATGTGGCCGAACGGAAGTATCGAGAAGAAGGGCTTCCAAACGCATCAGCCAATCGCAAGAGGACATTTCTCTTTCTGTCCAATGGGAGTGCACAGGTGGCTCAGTCAACTCCCGTGCGGTGAGTTGTGCATCTCCATAGGTCAGGCGACGTAAAGACTCTGAATCGAGCCAGCAGTAGGCGGGGTAGTTGGAAACCAATAGGATGAAACTCCGTGGCCGCAAGGCGGGGTCTTCGTTTCCCCGCGCTCAGAGGTTTTTCTCTTCTTATTGCGCGTGGAAGTTTAGTCTCTTCGCAGCTGCGCGGAAGGAAGGAGCGACGGCCTTGTTTATGGCTGGTTGTTCTGTTTCCGGCCTTTGCTACGAGACTAGTAGCATCTGAATCCTGTGACTTCATACCCGAGTTTTCTTCGGGAATAAATCTCCCCAAATCTCAAAGGATTTGTGAGTCCCAGTGAAAATGTACACTACATGCTACAACTCTGGGTCTTCGCTGAAATCGTACTACCGTAATTGGATTCACGCTTTGTACCAAATAATTAACAAGCGAGTCACCTTTTCGTCCTGTGTTTTGGATAGTTTGTGGTTTACTGTGTCATTGGAACCTAATGGATTGCAGTGGTGTTGGGTTGCATAAACTGATTTTTGGCAGTGTGTTAATATACTCTCAAGAGTCTGCAAAATATAAATTATTTTCCAGATATTTAAGACAATTGCAAAAAAATAAGTCATTTTTTTATAAAAAGGATTTTCATGAAATGTGTTAATATCTAATGAGTTTAATACTCTGACAACATGAGGCAGGAAATCTACAAATGTATCAGGTTTAATTTTTAAATGGCAAACTTTGTTAAATGTACAAAAAAAAGTTATTTGGGGCTTTTTAAAAAAGGGAATGGGTCCTGAAAGCAAAAAGTTTTAAGAAACACAGGTTTAGACTTTTGCAACTGTTTCTTCCTGTGCACCCTTCTACCCCTGTCAGAGTACTTTATTTGCTTGCAAGGAGTAATTCTTATGTTTACAATGTTGTTAGGCAAATAAAGACAATGGACCATCCTGTTAACGAACAGGTTTCCTTAATATCCAATCATTTTCTCCCTCCCCAATTACCTTATTCTAATTTCAAATTGGTTTTCCCAGGGTGCACAGCCAGTGAAGAAGCAGCAGCTCTGGTATCAATGAATCTCAATCTCACAAGAGTTGTCCTCTTCACAGGCAGAAGCACTCGGTGAAATCTTGGTGCAAACGCAAAACGTTTCAGTTGCGATGAGTATGAAGCTTGCAAAGCAAAGGTCAATTTTGAAGCTTCAAATATAAAACGGTTTGTAAAATAGTTCAAATGTTCTGAAGGGAGGACAGGGCTCAGCTCATATCAATTATATGTGGAGGCCTTTACAATCTCCCCCTATCGTTCATCTTTCTCCACCATTGATCCTGACCTCCAACCATGTAACTAGGCAAGAGGCAGGCATGGTTAGAGCACATCATGCCAAAGCTGAGTAAATGGGAGAAGCAACAGGAAAAGGCTGGAGATGTTGGATGGGGCAAAGTGCCTCAGTTTGGAGTTAGGGCAAGAAAACAACGGAGCACAAACCCAGATGCCATCAACAATTTCCTGAGTGCTGAAGCTGTTCAGCAGAGACAGGAGGTACCTGACCACTTACAACTTAACAGAGCACAAGACCTCCCACATTTTTTGAGCTTGTAACTAATGCCTTCACACACTTTCCTATAATTCTTTCCTAAACACCACACAAATGTTCTCCATGACATTAGTTTCCTTCAGTTTAACAGCAACATGCTTTACTTCTTTTTCCTTATTAAGATTCTTAAGAATCTTAAGGAGAACAGACATTTTTACCCATCCCAGCAAACAGCCCAATGGTAGCATTTCCTTCCACACAGCTGGGAAATTGGACAAATAACCCTGGCCAGCTAAAGATGGGAGCTTCTCACTTATATTCATCCAGGTTTTTTAGGATGTCAGAGAAGAAAGGCTGTTCAATATGAAAGTAATACACATGCACTTCAAACCATGAAAAGTAAATGGCAGACAACAAACAGCCTCCATAAAATAGGGGGACAAGCCTTTGAAGTAGCTGTATCAGGGCAAAGATCCCCATGGTTATTTTCAGAAAGTCCATAAATGCACATACAGACTCTAGTGGGCTGAGTAAAACATGCAGAGGATCATTATTAATATTAAACCACTGATTACTGTTAAATTTTTCTTGCCTTCAAAATTGTTTTTTGTCCTGACGTGATTCAATCTCCCAGTTTTGCTTAGCCTACCTCTCCAAAGGCAGAGGAATCACTTCAGATGGATGTCCTATTCCAGTGATGGCGAACCTTTTAGAGACCGAGTGCCCAAAAACCACCCACCACCTCCACGGCCCGCCATAGATCACCCAGGCAGCCCAGCAGCGCCATGGCGGCCACACCCTCCACCCGTGCCCTGCATCATCTGCATGCAATGGGGCGCAAGGGTGGAATCCTGTCCCCGCTGCCCTGTCCTTGGCTGTGCTGCTTCCTGTGGGCTACACCTACAGGCGACTCTCCTCTGGGGGGGCTGCTGTTGAGGAGGGGGCTATGGGAGGAGGCGGAGCTCGGGCAACAGTGTGTGTGCTCACAGAGAGGGCTCGGAGTGCCACCTCTGGCACACGTGCCATAGGTTCGCCACCACTGTCCTATTCCTTCTTCCTGAAAACTCTTATATATGGGGAACTGCATTGTTTGATTAGGTAATGAATGATTTTAAGCAGCCCACCCCACTAAGTCTAGGAGAAACATTGAATTGTGAATCATTCATTAGTATATCTCTGTCAAAAGTCAAAGATGAAATTTCTACAAACTCGAAGTACTCTACCTTGCAGAGATTCATTCACTGAATGAATGAATTCCTTCCCATTCAGTCTCTGACATCTAGTCAGCACTTTCACCATATCACCAGTTTGGCCTGTGAATATGAATAATAACTGGATATCACACTGAGGATACCAGACTCTAGGAGAATGGGTGATCTCCCCCAGTAATTCCATGCAAATGTCATGGCCCTATGGGATCCCGGTTCGGAGGAGGAGTTGGAATCAGGACCACCCGGTAGGGATGATATATCTCCCCTAGAACATCTGGGGAGTTCAGAAGCTGAGGACAATTTTGTCCCAGGCTCCTCCAGCATTGTAGGAAGTGGTCATCAGATGGGGACTGCCTGCCGTCACAGAGGATCGGCTGCAGACAAGCGGTAGAGATGAGAGATAACAGATCCCCTCTGACAAGGAACAGCTGCCTTCTCCACCCCATTTTACTCCCCTGACTTTTGGAATCCTTGACTTCTGGACTCCCACTCACGTTTCAGCCTCAGGATTTGCATATCTTGCTTTATGGACTCTGACTTTGGCTTGTGTTTTACAGATCTTGTTTTTGCAACCTTGCACCAGGTTTGTGGACTTCTTTCTTCCTGTTTGGCAACTTGTTTCTGGCAACTATTGGATTCAGCTGGTGGGATTGTGTTACGTTGACTGTGGATGGCTGGTTGTTGGGGAAAAGTGGGGTGAAGGTTTACCAACATCCCTGGAGGGCTGTCTGTCATGATTTAACAGTGCAATAAAATACTTCATTGGTGCCTGCATATGCCTACTAGACTTGGATCAGGACAGTAGATCTTTAAAAAAGAAGGGACAACTGGAGAGATCCCTAGAGCATGCACAGAATAGCTTTCTCTGGACAGATCTCTCTTCCACCATCACTATTCTTGGAAGTCAGCACCCACCCACCCTCCTAGAAAAAGAAAGATTTTGGAGAGTATTAAAAAAGGCAAATTCCTCCAAAGTAATAATGGGAGAAAAATCTTAGACAGAAACCAGCCCTAGTCTCCCCCAAGCAGAAACTCAGAAACCAGCTTTTACAAATGCAGATTTGATAATCCAGGAAGGTTGGGGCCAGGAAGTTTGGAGCTGAGGTAATTAGTAAAACAAAGACATGACCATTAGGACACAATAGGATTAACCATCACCATCAGAATACCAGAAGGGGCACACTCAGACTCAGGTCAAAGTACATGACACAGGAAATATAAAATCTGCACTCCCCCAATACTATATTCTCCATAAGTGCAACCAATGCAATATCCATGTAGCCTGCTGGACAGAAACTGATTGTCAAGGAGCTAAATAACCTGCTTCCTCTAAGGCAGTGTTTCTCAACCTTGACAATTTTAAGGCATGTGGACTTCAATTCCCAGAATTCCACAGCCAGCAATGCTGGCTGTGGAATTCTGGGAGTTGAAGTCCACATGCCTTAAAATTGTCAAGGTTGAGAAACACTGCTCTAAGGCTCTCTGCAGTTGAAGGGCACCAACCTTTCAGGCAAGCCAGATCAGGAATCAGACACCACCAAGACTATTGGAGCTCTTTAATATTGGTGTGATATGATAACAGAATTGTGAAAGCCTGTCAGGAGTTTCCCATTGTCCTCTTTTGTGGGGTGCAGAGTCAAGATAGGATTATTTTGAGTCTCTTGAGTGAAAAGAAGGCAGAATTCCATTTCTCATCTGCTCCCTTGCCCCCTCAACAGGGATACAGCTTTCTCCATATTTTCTTAAATATGGAGGATTGCAGATGGGTCTAACATTGTCAAAAGCACTTGGATTGAGAAGGCTTCCTGATCCCCATGAGAAATGCATCTTTCTTCCTTTTTTGCATGAGCAACTTGCAAGGTACATGGATACAATTCACCAGGAGCTCCCCTCTGCAAAAACAACATCCATGCACTTTGGCATTGAACCACTGGAGGGCGAATGCTACATATAGATGGATTCCAGAGGAGGATGCAAACACCTTGCCTCTCTAGGACACTGCACTCTTTCTCTTTAATCCTTCCAGTTTTGCAGGAGATACAACTGCAGGAAAGTTTGGAATGGAAGAGATCCAACTGTGATCCTGGGTAAGTGGTGGATGCTTTCTCATTCAAAGGGAGGCAGGAATTTTTCGTGCTCAAGAAGTAAGAGATATATGCCCTCATCCAGGTTCAATCTTCTGAGTCCCCGTAGTGAGAGAGCCCAAATCCCATATTCCCCTGCCTCCCTTTCTATGTTAACAGAGGGGGATGGTGGTGGTGGGGGGGGAAAGACCTTCAGACCAGCTGTTTTGCCTCCAGTTGTGTTGTCCCCAGAAATAAATCCAGATCCCCAGGAAGAAGGAGAGTATTCTGGGGAAGGCAGCCATGCCCCATTTCCTGGGAAAAGCTCCTTCGTAGGGGGAGAGGATGAACCTGCATGGCAAATCACAAGCAGGAAACGTTTGAAAGGAAGGAGTTGCAGAAGTTTGTGCCTGTGTTCTTATTGTGTGCTGGATGACACTAAAATAGGGTTTGGATTCTCTGCAGTTCAATTTGTTTTAGGTGGGTAAGTGAACGAGGATATAAATCTACGTTCCTTCAACTCTTGTGTTTCATATGAACTCACCACCTGCAGTTGCTGTTAGGGTTTAAGGCACGTTTTGTGAACCTGTCTGGCTATAGTAATGTAATTTGACTCCTAAAAAGCAAAGCCTGAAGAAAGGGAAGTGGAACATCCTAAGCAAGACTCAATTGGATTTCATTTTATGTAAACTCATGATTTGTTAATGTGTTTGGGGACTGGTATTTTGTGTGAACCCTGCCTGCAGGTATATGTATTTCTTGGTTTTAAAAAAGCAAAATCATCTTTTTGGGAGAAAAGAAATAGAAAAAATGTTCTGAAATGCATTTATTCAGTGCATTTCAGCCAAATCTTTGATGAGGGTCAATCCCATAGTTTGCAACACACACACAATCACACACAGAAACTAATTGCTTGGTGTCACTGTAATCCTACACTAGCTCAAAAACATACTTCCTTCCAGGAGCAGGGCATTTTTTCTCATAGAACGTCCAGAACGGAGTTCCGGCACCTTTTTTGAATGGAACTTTGTAGGGTAGGCAAGACGGGTTGTATGATGTGTGTGAGTTCTGGCACTTTTTTTTTTTTAGGAAAAAAGCACTGTCCAGGAGTATGATTATTATTGAATGATTAAATGCACCACTTTCTAATTCTTGGCATTTATTTGGTTTTTGGTCTCAGATACAATATGTAATCTGGAAGCCATTTGTACAGCCTTTCATAGAGACAAAATTCTCTTCAACAAAGAGGGCTGAATGACTTGTTCTGGTTAGTCCTATGGCTAGATGAATGCTCCGATGAATGAAAAAGCATTTGGAGATCCTCAAGATTCATTCGACCTGTTTGGAATTGTGTAATAGGACAGAGAAAGAATGGCAAGCCATCCTTTAGCAAATGAGGGAACTGGAAAAATCTCTTCTGGTGCTCGGTCTGGGAGCTGTGCAGAGATCTTGGAGAAAGAAACCATCGTTTCACAAGTTCAGTCCTGGAACTTCAGGAGCATCCAATATCAGGAGGATGAGGGTCCCCGAGGACTTTGCAGCCGACTTCACTACTTTTGTAGCCAATGGTTGAGACCAGAAAAGCACACAAAAGCGCAGATGCTGGATCTGGTTGTTTTAGAGCAGTTCCTGGCCCTTCTGCCCCTGCAGATGAAGAACTGGGTATGGGAGTGTGGAGCAGAAACCAGCTCCCAGGCGGTGGCCCTGGTGGAAGGCTTCCTCCTGAGCCAGGCACAAGAACAGAAGGAGCAGGTTGAGTTACAGGTAAGATGATTTCATCTTGGGAGCTTAGAATGGGTTTAAATGTAATAAATGATGTGTTTGAATTCTATACTCCTCATTACCAGTTCTCTGGCATTCATAAGATTTCACTAATTCTGTAAGGACATTGTTCCATTATTCATTCTTAGAAGAAAGATTTGGGACAGCCTTTTATTTCTTACTTTCCAACCTAACTGATGGACATTGGCTGCTTTCAAGTGGCGTTCACGGAACAAGAATCCATTTCATGAAGTGTGTTGTCCTTTCATTCTTCTTCTTTTCTCTGGCTTATATTCCAAGTCCTTAACTGTGCTGATCAGAGATCCTGAGGGAAGGAGGCATGTATCCAATTCCTCTCGGGAACTGTTCTTCTTGACTTCTCAGGATGACCCAAATCAAGAAACATCCAGAGGTAATAGAAGACTCTCCCATTCCCCATGGAGATCTCAGCTTCTCATCTTCTCTATGTCTTTTCTATTATAGCACACCTCCTCCTATTGTGTTAATTTTGCATTTTTAAATTCTGTCTCCTTCACAGGGAAAAACAGAGGGAAGTTGACCCTTCCTTATGGTGAAGCTGAAACAGTGGTTGAACCTCCAATTCAGGTAAGAGAAGGACATTTATTTCTTAGATCTGCATTCTCCCTTTTCTTCACTGGTGTACGTTGTGCTGTCTCCTTCCATTTTATCTTCTTGTTTGGGATGCCTTATTTTCATGTTCCCAAGCAACAAAAATTCAGGTGAGATTCTTACTAGGATTTTTTTAAGACCAATACTTTAAAAAAAGTACTCTTTATGCTAATTATACACCATACATTTCAATAACTATTTTTTTATGAACTTTTTCACGATGCCCATTCTTTTTGTCATTTTGTGACTGGATTTATGCACGGACGCTAAAAAATGATGTAATATTCACACTGGCACATTACCATTTTAAAAAGCATTTGTTACAAAGTGTACAAAGACATAAGAAAAACAAGTTCATCGGATTAAAAGATAAGACTATTAAAATTGATTGAAAGTGGCCATATAGAAAAGGCTCAGTACAAAAATTGTTCTAAGAGAGCATATAATCAAGGCACTTTTGGCTTCCAAAGTAAACTCACCTTTCCAAAGGTTAAGAAATGTTCTCCTTAGGAAATTCTGTTTCCTTTTTTCCATTTCAGCCAATGGTTCAGACTATTAGCAGCTCCCCTTCCTGCATGAAGAGTTTTGTGTCTCTGGATACTGATGGCACCTCACCAAATCTCCCAACACACACATACACACACACACACACACACTTCTGCAAACATAGGAAGGATTGGAGTCACTAATAGGTGGGGTTTCCAAGGCCCACCTGCCAATTTATTCTCTCTGAATGCTGAGAGTCTTTTGATGATGGATGGATTAATGGATTGATCCAGAAGAAAGAATGTTTTGAGGATGGATGGTAGATGAATCAATCCAGGAAACTTTCACTGAATGGCCCCAAAAGTCCTGTGGAATCAATCAAGTTGATAAAAGCTGCCTAAAATATTTTTTTAAGTCAAAAGCTTTTTGCTCTGTCTATTTTTGTCATCTCAGTCCTGGAATACTACTAAGCATAGACCTTAGTGCATAACTTTGCTCTGGGAATTTTTAAAGAATAGGCCAGATCTTGCAGTCCTTCCTGGGCCTATTCTGTACTTTTTGTTTTGTTTTCAGGAGGATCTTGTGCCCTTTGAGGAGGTGGCTATGTATTTCTCTGAGGAGGAGTGGTCTCAGCTGGATCCTCACCAAAAAGCGCTGCATTGGGAAGTCATGCTGGAAAATTATAGGAACGCTGCTTCTCTAGGTAAGGTTTCCTATTCTCCAGTCAGAGTTCAGGAAGACATGTTGTAGTTAGATGTTTCTTATTAAAAAATCTCCAAATAGAGGTCATCTCTTGAGAGGGAGAAGGAAAAAATATGCTGTTCTACAGCCCCTAGTATGGAAATAGGTCAATGGATTTCTGCTTAGATGCATTCTGTGCCATTTTGTCATCGCTTGAGTTTTTTCTATTTCTGTTTAAACCTGTCAGCAACAAAGTAATTCCTTGGTTTGAGGTAATGCTAAACTCTGTTACACAGATTTCATATTTTTTGGCCCAGATGCTTCCGTATCAGTACTATGAAGGATTGCAATTCTGTTTTTTTTATTTAATGGACTTTGCTTCCATTTCATTTCTATCCTGAGTCTTGGAATTAAGGCAAAATGGTGCCATTTTTCTATTGCAAATATGCTGCTTACGATTAATAGAAGAACTCTTAAGTTTTTTTCTCTGCAATCATGCAATTTTTGGCAGGCAAAAATTGAAACACAAATGGAAGGTAGGTTTGTATAGGAAAAAAAATGTGTTTCAAAATTAATGCTCAGAGGGCTCTGCTAGAATTAGTCTCCCTCCAATAAATGTTATTTTTTCTACAAATGCCTTCTTAGATGTTTCTCCTTATTCTTAAATTAAAGTTTAGATGTTTCAAATCTTTTATCCTTCATGTTAGATGTTTCAAAGCTTTTATGCTTCATGAATAGAGATGTTATCATTTCTATACCATGTCATTATAAGTATACAAATGTACAATATATTAGAATTTGGCAAAATATCAGAGGAAATTTATATGGCTTCTGGTAGATTGACCTTTTTTCTTAACCTTGCTAACATTATTATTTCTCTTTTCTTTCGAAGGTAATAATGGGCAGGAAAATAAAAACCCAACTGAACCATTCCAAAAGTTCAGACATGGAAACAGAACAGAGAACCCTGCAATTCAAATGGAACAACAAAAACAGGAGAGAAACCTATCAAATAATTGGAATAAGGAAAGCACATCTTCAATTGATGCTCAGTTGCAAGGCTTTCTTGACCAATCAGGAAAAATAAAGAAAAAATGTATTGGGAAAGGTGTAAGACTATTCAAAGATATATTAGATGCAAATGAATATTATCCAACCCAACCCAAAGCAAAAGACTATATATGCAAAGAGAATGCTAAAAATTACAACGGGACTTTCACTCTTTCTGAAGAAAGTGGGTTTCTGACAAGTCATAAAAGGATGCATGTAGGAGAGAAGCCAATTAAATACATGGAGCGTAGAAAGCACTTCACCCAACGCGATCATCTTGTTTCCCATAATAGGAGGCATATAGGGGAGAAGCCATTTAAATGCATGGAGTGTGGAAAAGGCTTCAGCAAACACAGTAATCTTACTTCCCATGAAAGGATCCACACAGGTGAGAAGCCGTATAAATGCATGGAGTGTGGAATCACCTTTCGTTACAACAGTCAACTTACTTCCCATGAAAGGATCCACACAGGGGAGAAGCCATTTAAATGCATGGAGTGTGGAAAAGGCTTCAGCAAACACAGTAATCTTACTTCCCATGAAAGGATCCACACAGGGGAGAAGCCATTTAAATGCATGGAGTGCGGAAAGACCTTCACCCAACATGGTCATCTTAGTTCCCATCACAGGATGCACAGAAGGGAGAAACCATTTAAATGCATGGAATGTGGAAAGACCTTTATTTCCAGCAGACATCTTATTTCCCATGGACAGATCCATACAGGGGAGAAGCTATTTAAATGCATGGAGTGTGGAAAAGGCTTCAGCAGACACAGTAATCTTATTTCCCATGAAATGATCCACACAGGTGAGAAACCATTTAAATGCATGGAGTGCGGAAAGACCTTTCGTTCCAGCAGTCATCTTACTTCCCATAACAGGGTGCACACAGGGGAGAAGCCATATAAATGCATGGAGTGTGGAAAGACCTTTAGTTGCAGCAGTCATCTTACTTCCCATAAAAGGATCCATACAGGGGAGAAGCCATATAAATGCATGGAGTGTGGAAAGCACTTCACCCAACATAGTCATCTTACTTCCCATAAAAGGATCCACACAGGGGAGAAGCCATATAAATGCATGGAGTGTGGAAAGACCTTTAGTTCCAGCAGTCATCTTTCTTGCCATAGAACGATCCACACACGGGAGAAGCCATACAAATGCATGGAGTGTGGAAAGGACTTCAGCCAAAAGAGTATTCTTACTTCCCATAAAAGGATTCACACAGGAGAGACACCATATATATGCTTGGAGTGCGGAAAGGGCTTTAAACAGCTCAGTCATTTTACTTATCATAAAAGGAGCCACATGGGGGAGAGGCCATATAAATGCATGGAATGTGGAAAGACCTTTATTTACAATAACCATCTTATTTCCCATGAAAGGATCCACACTGGAGTAGCCATATAAATGCAGAGAGTGTGGCAAGACTTCTACTTACAGCAATCAACTTACTGATGATAATAAAAGGATCCACACAGGGGAAAAACCATACAAATACTTGGAGTGCAGAAAGGATTCAGCCAAACCAGTAATCTTACTTCCTATAAGAAGATCCATATAAGGGAGAAGCCATGTAAGTGCATGGAGTGTGGAGAGAGCTACAGGAGGAGGAATGATGTAATTTCCCATGCAGAGATACATTAAAGTGAGAATCTTTGTTAGATTTAATTAGTTATATCCATGGATTTTCCTATTTACAGACTGAACTAAGAAAAGAATTTTTTTTTTGAGTTTGGCCTTCCCAACTGGCAATCACAGAGATGAATTTACTAATGAAAATGAAAACAATGAACATGCACCATTTTAACTATGAACTTTTGATTTTTGAAAGTACCTATTGTATATAGAGGTACAATTTATTTTCTTTTCAGAAGTGAGTTTCCTGCTCCTCAGTTGTTTCTTCCCACTTGATCACACTCAAAATGTTTAAAATGTCCCTCTTTTGCTAATCTTAGAATTGTTTCCCCCTTCCTTTCTCATTCCTAAACATATTCTCAATTTATTAAACAAACCTATGCTTTTCTGTTCTCAGAAAAAGTTGGAAATAGTGCACCAGAGAAAAATCAAAATTATAATCCAAAGACAATTCAAGTTTTATCAAAGTTTAGAGTGTGATGGAATGTAATACAGAATTGTCCTGTTGAATAATTGTGATATTGAATTAAAAGTGACAAATAAGAGGATTTGTACTTTGAATTTGTCATTACTTCCCCCTCTTTCTCTTTTTGTCCTTAGTTGGGGATACTAAGGAAAATAACAATGAAAGTGATGCTTAACACTGCAAATGATCAAGCAGAAAAGTTGACAATTGGAAATCAGTGGGGACCAAAATAAAATAATGTGAAATTAAGAAAAACTATTTCAGAAAACTCCTATCTCAACACAGAAATGAGAAGGGGAACTGCTTGGGGATGCAAAAATACCAATAAATAAATAAAGTTGCATCCATGGTGTAGAACTGAGACCTGAGTCAGCGAGTATCTATGCAAAAACATGGAACATTATTCAATCAAAACGCCTTGTGATTTGAGCAAATCGTCAAATGCAAATCAATGTATAGTGTATAGGAAGAGCTAAAAGGATGAATTCCTTTCTCTCAAAAAGAGCTTCTGCCTTCAGGAGCTTTGGAAAATAGCTTGACTCCCTCCTCTTTGTGGCAGCCCCTGAGATATTGGAATACTGCTATCATGTCCCCCCCTCGTCCTTCTCTTCATTAAACTAGACATGCCCAATTCCATCAACCTTTACTTATATGTTTTAACCTCCAGTCCCCTAATCATCTTTGTTGCTCTTCTCTGTACTCTTTCTATAGAGTCTCAACGTCTTTTTTACATCGTGGTGACCAAAACTGGATGCAGTATTCCAAGTGTGGCCTTACCAAGGCATTGTAGAGTGGTATTAATACTTCGCGTGATCTTGATTCTATCCCTCTGTTAATACAGCCTAGCACTTTGTTGGCTTTTTTGGTAGCTGCAGCACACTGCTGGCTCAATGATTGTCCACTAGGACTCCAAGATCCCTCTCACAGTTACTACTATTGAGCAAGGTACTTCCTATACTATACCAGTACATTTGCTTTTTCTTGCCTAAATGTAGAACCTTACTTTTTTCACCATTGAATTTCATTTTGTTAGTGCCCAGTGTTCAAGTCTGTCCAGATCCTCTTGTATCCTAAGCCTGTCTTCTGGAGTGTTGGCTATTCCTGCCAGCTTGGTGTCGTCTGCAAATTTGATGACTTACTTAATGACCATAGTAAAAGATGCAGAGGATCATTATTAACAAAAATCCAATAATAAAGGCCAAGAAGGTAGAAAGAGGGGGAAAGAAAGATAGCTTGTGCTTAAACTGAGAGCGTAATACAGGAGCCCTGCTCTTGGGATTTGGGCTCCATCAGTCTATGGCTAGAAGACCTCCAAAGTCCCTTCCAATCCTATGCCTCTGGGTTCTATGTTCTATGACTATTGCTTCAGAATTGGAGACCCTTTTAGGGCTTTCTAAGTTTAAGCCAGATAGCACCTTTGTCCCCAATGGGCATGACCACCACAGACTGCATTTCAACAACAATTGCATACTCTAGATCAAAATCTAATTGTGTTTGAATTCTTAACCCTTGCCTTTAGAGTCTTTGGCATTCATTATATGTAGGGATATTTCTATTTTTTTTTTAATTTTTATTTTTATTAACTTTTTCCTTTATACAGTACATATTCAGCAGACTGTGTCATTTTTATATACTATGGATCTACATTCTATACAATATATAACTATGTACATTCAATCTAACCCACAATAATCTAATTTGCACAATAACCTTATGTATATTTCCAATTTTTGTTTCTGTTGTCTATCCAAATATACCAATTTTCCCAAACCGCATAAAATTCCAAATCATCTTTTTCTTTTAATTCTAAGGTGAGTTTGTCCAGCTCGGCACATTCATAAATTTTCTGAATAATCAACTCCTCTGATAGTATATTGCGTTCCTTCCAATATTGGGTGAATGCAATTCTTGCCGCAGTTAGTATATGTAAAATCAGATACCTTATTTTCTTATCAAATTTCTTTTTAAGTATTCCCAGGAGAAATGTTTCCGGATTTAATTTGATTTGACATTTTGTTAAGTCTTGTAGCCACCCTTGTATTTTAATCCAATATTGTTTCACTTTAGGGCACAGCCACCAAGTATGAAAGAAGGTACCTTGACGATAGTTACATTTCCAACAATTTGGGCTTTGTTTCGGATACATTTTGGCTAAACTTGCAGGGGCTAGGTGCCAACGATATAGCATTTTATATTGATTTTCCTTATATGCAGTGGATTTTGTATTTTGTGATTTTTATTCCAAATTCTTTCCCAATCTTCTAATTCTATATTGTGCCCTATGTTTTTTGCCCATGCAATCATTGGTTCTTTCACTATCTCCTCTACTCTATCAAATTCTAATAAATAGTTATATATTTTGGATATTAATTTTCCTTCAGGGCCTATCAATAATTTGTCTAATTGTTTTAATTCCATGTCAATTCCATAATCTTCCACATCCTTCTTATATCTAGATTGCAATTGTAAGTATGGCCACCAATCAATAGTTATTCCCTGTTCTTTTAATAATTGACTATTTTTGAGCTTCCCCTGTTTGTCTAAAATTTCCAAATATCTGGGCATTTTGCTTATATCCAACGTGTTAGGATGGATCATTGCCTCCATGGTAGATAGCCAGCAGGGAATTTTCCTATAGTGTTTCTTCCTTACATCCTCCCAGGTTCGTAACAGAGCATCTCTTATTTTATGTCTATAGAAATATGAGTGTATCCTAATTCCTTTATCCCACATGAAGGCATGCCACCCCTTCTGTAAATCGTGCCCTTCCAGTGTTATGATTCTTCTTTTCTTTTCTTTTTATTGAAAAAGTTTTATTAACAATTAACAAAAAAAATTTAAAACCCACTCACACCCACCCCCCCTACCCCCCGACTTCCCAGAGCCGAATACAGGGTTATTACAAACATATTAAACAAAATCTAATTAAATTTAACAAATTATACAATAACTAAATTCATACTTAACCCTTAACTCCCTTTAAACCTTAGTATCATAATATTATAAACAAATCCATTTAAAACAATTATTATAAAGAACCATAATAATAGTAAATAAACTAAATAATTTCCATTATAAAATGCTATTAATAATAATTATTATTTAAAATTTAATCATAAAAAATGGAAGTTTTTAGTTCCATATTTAATCTGAATATAGTCGATCCATCTTCTCCATACCATAATATATCTTTCTTGTGTATGATCCTTTAAATAAGCAGAAATTTTAGCCATTTCTGCTAAATTAGAAACCTTAAGTGTCCATTCTTCTATAGTAGGCAACAAATCTTTCTTCCAATATTGACTTACCAATAGCCTTGCTACTGTTACTAGATTCAACATTAAAATAGTTTCTTTAACATCAAAATCCTCAAAAATCCCTAGTAAAAATAGTTGAGGAGTAAACTTTATCTTCCTTTTAAAAATCTTTTGAATGTTCCACCAAATCATAATCCAAAAAGCCTTAATATTCTTCTTTTCTTTAATTTAACTCAATCTCTTATCCAAACCAGAGTTGCTGCCTTGTAATAGAGTTCGTGGGAATATTTCTAATTCTTGTAGGACTTTGTTCTGTTATTTGTGATAGTCATTCTGTTCCTACTTTCCAACCACACTGATGGATTCTGGGGCTTCAAAGTGGTGTTCACAGAAGAAGAATCTTCATTTGTATTGTCCATTTATTCTTCTTCCTGCTTCCTGCCTACTATTTCAAGTCCTTCATGGTAGAGATCAGAGATCCTGAGGGAAGGAGGCATCCATCAACTTCAAATCCGGAAATGTTTTTCAGGAGGATCTCTCACGATGGTCCAAATCAAGACACAAACAGAGGTAATACATGGTTCTCTCATTCCCCAAAGAGATCTCAGCTTTCTCCAGCATGTAGAGGAATGTAGACTCCACGAATGGTGGAGCCTACATTGCTCATGCTGAGAAAAGGCATTCCGGTAAGACAACGCCCCTTCTCCAGCATGTAGAGGAATGTAGACTCCACCATTCGTGGAGTCTACATTCCTCATGCTGAGAAAAGGCGTTCAGGTAAGACAACGCCCCGTCTCATCTTCTGTACATCTTCTGTACATCACCTCCTACATTATTAATTATGCAGTTTAAAATTCTCTCTCCCTCACAGGGAAGAATAGAAGGAAGCTGGCCCTCCCTGATGATGAAGCTGAAACAGTGGTTGAAACTCCAATTCAAGTAAGAAGAGGAAGTTTGTTTATTAGATTTGTAGCTTTTTTAAGACCAGTACTTTAAATAATTGCTAATTGTTGCCAATTGTAATAATTGTACTAATGCTAATTACTCTACCCACTTTTCAAATAATACTTCATGATTCCCATTTTTTTTAATTCTTTGACTTGGATTTGTGCAAGGATGCTCAAAACTGACTAAATATTCACACTGGCAATTACCATTTTTAAAAAACCTTTCTAATCAAGGCTCTTTTAGCATGCAAAGTAAATTCTAATGCCTTGATTTGTGCCTGAATTTGGAAGCCAAGCAATTAAGCTTTGCAAAGGCTAAGAAATGTCCTCCTCGGAAAATTTCTTCAGCTTTGTTACCTTCCATTCAGTCAATGTCTAGGACTACAAATAGCTTCCTTACAATTTGAGGAGGACTAGAACCAAATTTCTTGCTGAGTTCTCCAAGCATTTTCATGAAGGTGTTGAGGATAGACAAGATTGCTCCTTCTTGGGACATCATGACACATTTATTAAAATGCTGCAAAGAATGCTTCCCCCCCCCAACACAAACATTTCCTTCTTCAAGCACAGGAAAGATTGGAATCACTGATAGGTGGAGTTTTGGAATTCCAGATACCAGTTGATTCCAGATGTCTTTGATGGTTGCTAGCTCAGTAGAGCCAGAAGGAAACTGGTGTAACTTTCACAGAATGCCACTGAAAGTCCTTGCTCATTCTCGGGACACCATAAGCCACTTACTAAGATGCTACAAAGAATGCTCCCCCCTCAACACACAAACATTTTCTTCTGGAGTTTTGGAATCCCAGATACCAATTAATTCCAGATGTCTTTGATGGTTGTTGGAGGGTGGGTAGGTAAGTGGATGGATGGATGATACTTCAATAGATCCAGAAGGAAACTGGTGTAGTTTTCATAGAATGGCACTGAAAGTCTTGCAGAATCAATCAAATTGATAAAACCCTGCTCAAACTATTGCTTCAGTTAAAAGATTTTTGCTCTGTCCGTTTTCTCATGTAAGCCCTGGAATCCTACAAAGCAGAGCCGTTTACTCAGTTTGGCTTGTGGAATTTATAAACACAGGACTTTTTTTTTTTACAATTCCTCTGTCAAGCCCTCCCGGGCTTGACACACAAGACGGGGGGAACTGACCTATGAACCAAGAAGGAAGAGTGTACAGCAGCATGGCATTTTCACGGAGTATATGAGTGTGGAGCCTCCGACGATAATATGGAGCATCGGCAGTTCTAAGGAGCAGGAACTGACATGCGCAGAAGGACTGTTACGCATGCACAGAGCCACCTCAAATCCGCCGAACAGCTGATCAGCGGTAGATTTGAAATCAGCTGATAGGCAGTGACCCGCGGATTGCTTTGCTAGCGCAAGGCGTACTAAGGAGGATTGATTCGACGAGAATGCTTTGAAACGCTGATTGGAGGCCAGGAGGGTGGAGACATTGGGTGTGGTAGGGAGACGTGGATGATTCGGGTGTGGTGCAGGTGGAGGTTAATGAGCACGGGTGTGGTGAAGGTGTGGTCCATAATTGCATAGGGTGGAGTGAAAACGTAAGTGTATTTAACTAACGCTGGGAGGCAGTTGCTCCCAGCGCAAACTTTGTATAGCGCACAGCTGGTGCAACGCTTGTCTGTGTTAAACGTCATTGCCGTTCCTTGAAGTAAACTGGAGCTGTTTTCACCCCGAAATCTCGTCAGTGCGTTTTTCGTGTGGAGTCCGGTAGGGAGGCTGACATCCTCTTGGGCCTTTTGTGTACCTTTTTTCCTCCCTGTCAGGAGGGCCTTGTCTCCTTCCAGGAGGTGGCTGTGTATTTCTCTGAGGAGGAGTGGTCTGTGCTGGATCCTCACCAAAAAGCGCTGCATTGGGAAGTCATGCTGGAAAATTACAGGAACGTGGCCTCTCTTGGTAAGGGTTTCCTTATTCTCCAATCAGAGAGTCCAGGAAGACATTTTGTAGCTGGATACCACTGGCTGTTTCTTATTTAAAAAAATCTCAGATAGATGTCATCTCTTGACAGGAAGCAGGTAGAAATTTGCTGTTCTACTGCTCTGAGGGAGGAAATAGATCAGTGGCATTCTGCTCAGATGCATCCTGTGCCATTTCACACCTGGTTAATTTTCTATTTGCATTTAAACATCTCAGTGACAAAGTAATTCCTTGGCTTGGTGTAATGCTAAACTCCATCACAAATTTTGGCTCACATAATTTTTTCCTAATAAGTCCTTGGATGCTTCCTTTGATTTTTCTTTAACTCAGAGCTGATTCATTGAGATTTGAATATGTATGAAAAATTAAAAGAAAAATAATGTTTGCTATTTTTAAATCTTTTATGCTTCATTGATGTGGGAATTATCACTTATACCATTGTAAGCAATCAAACATGCTATATCTTAGAATTTCAAAAGCTTCAGAAGGCAATTATGATTTCCGCCTGATCTTTTTCTTTAACCATAGTATCATATCTATTTCTCTTTCTGCTTGGAGGTGATAATGGGCAGGACCATAAAGACTCTAGCAAATCATTCCAAGAGTTCAGACATGGAGACGTAATAGAGAAATGGAATTCCAAAGGAAGGAGAGAAACCCATCAAATTCCATCAATGTTCACATGCAGGAGATTCTTGACCAACGAGGAAAAATACGAAAAAAATATATTGGGGAAGGTGTAAAATTAGCCAAAGACACATTAGATGTAAATGAACAAGAGCCGTAGGACAAGATAATATGTGTAAAGAAAATGGAAAAAATTATAATTGGACTTTCCCGTTTTCTCAGGAAAATGGGTCTCTTACATCACATAAAAGTTTTCCCATTGGAGAGAAACTAAATAAATGCATGGAGAATGGAAAGAGCTTTTGTGAAAGAGGACTTGTACTATTCAGAAAAGGAACCACAAGGAGAAGCCATTTAAATGCATGGAGTGTGGAACGGGATTCCATGAAATTGCATCCCTTGTGAGTCATAAGAGAATCCGCACAGGTGATGCGCCATATAAATGCATTGAGGATGGAAAGTGCTTCGACAAAGAGAGTAATCTTACATCCCATAGAAGGATCCACACGGGGGATAAGCCCTATAAATGCATGGAGTGGGGAAAGACCTTTAGACACAGCAATAATCTTACTGCCCACAAAAGGATCTACACAGAAGGGAAGCCATTTAAATGCATGGAGTGTGGAAAGGGCTTCAGTGGACTCAGTGTTCTTACATCCCATAAAAGGAGCCACACAGGAAAGAAAACATCTAAATGCATAGAGTGTGGAAAAGGCTTCAGCCAACATGATAATCTTACTTCCCATAAAAGAATCCACACGGGAGAAACCATTTAAATGCATGGAATATGGAAAGGGCTTTTGTGATAATGCATCCCTTATGAGACATAAAAGGATCGACACCAGGGAGAAACCATACAAATGCTTGGAGTGTGGAAAGGGCTTCCTCATAAACAGTAAACTTACTATTCATAAAAGGATCCATACAGGGGAGAAACCATATATGTAAATATAGTATAGTATGATATGGATTTACTAATGAAAATACCAATGGGCAAGGTGCCATTTTAATTACAAACTGGATTTTTGAAGGTATCTATATTTAAGTACAATTTATTTTATTTTCAAAGGGAAGATTCCTACTCTCCAGTTGTTAGTTCTTCCCACTTGATTATACTCAAAGAGCTTAAACTTTCCTTCTTTTTCCTAATCTTTTAATTGTTTCCCCTTCTTTTCTCATTCATTAATACACACTCAATTGATTAGAATATTTTTCTCTGTCCTCAGAAAAGTATAGTAGTATGAACTGGCCATTTCTATGTCAACAAATCAATCTAATGAGTAAAACCCAAAATCATAGTACTGTATATTTTTTTTCTACCCCCAAGGACAAAGTCCAGAAGCAATTTCAAAGTACAAACAAAAGTTCTTATATTCTTTTATCAAACCGGTCAATTTAGCCATCTCTGCTAATTCCTAATGTTAGCCATTCGTCCATGATGGGAATCAAAACATCCTTCAATTTTTGTGTGTAGTGCAGTCTTACTGCCCTCGACATATAGAGTTCAAATTTTTTTCCAAGTCTTTTTCTGTTAGACCCAGAAGGACAGTTTCTGATTTAATCTTTATATTCACGTTTAGAATTTTCTGCATTAAAATATGAAGCCTACTCCAATAAATCTTTCTTTATCACGTGTCCACCATAAATGATAAAAAGTCCCTTCTTTGCATTTACATTTCCAACATTCATTTGAAATACCTTTATACATTCTAGATAATTTATCTGAAGTTAAATACCAGTGATACGTCATCTTAAAATAGTTTTCTTTTAAGTTATAATTTAGTGTGAATTTTAAGTCTTTCGTCCACGTATTCTCTGATTGTTCAAGCATCACATTATACCCAAAGTTCTTTGCCCAGTGAATCATACAGTGTTTTACATGTTCACTTTCCAAATTCAATTTTAATAATGTTTTGTAGACCTTGGCAATCTACAAGGTCCCTTCCAACTACGTTACTCTGTCTTCTGCTTTTGAATCTCCTTGAGGAGGAAAACAGCATACCGTGAGATTCATCATTTGGCCACTGGAGGGCGAACGCCAGAGGTGATTTATCATAGGAGAATGGGAAGGAAATGACATCACTAAGGAGGTCTTTCCGTCTAGGACGCAGCACTCTGTCTTCTTACCATTTGAGCTTCGCAGGGTTTTTAAATGGGTGCAGAAAAGTCTTGAAGAAATCCAGAGGTGGGCGGAGTAACTGGCAGGTGGGAGGGGTCTTCACATGCGGGGGGGGGGGCGCAGAGGGTGCTCGCCTAGAGAAGGAAGGGACAGATGCCAGGTTCCCATGCAGGTGCAATTTTCTGAGTCCTGGGAGTGGGAGAGCCCGGATCCCATGTTCCCCTGCCGCCCCTCTCCAGAGGGAGAGGGAAACAGGGTTCAGGACTAGCCACGTTACCCCAGGAACAAATCCCCAGAGAGGAGGAAGGGTCCTGGGGGGATCCTTCCCGCCCCATATCCTGGAGAAAGCTCCAAAGTCGGTGATGGGGAGAGCTTGGATGGCAAATCTCATGCAGGAAATAAGAAAATAGCTGCACGGGAGGAACTGCAGAAGGTTGTGCCCGATTCTCCTTCTGTGCTGGATGACACTAAAATGGGGTTGGAATTTCAGTAGTTCAATTTTTCATAGGAGGTTAAGTGAGCCAGCACATCACCATCCCCTGTGTTTTGTGTGAATTCAGCCCCTGCAATTATGTAGCCTGTTTGTGTTTAGGGTATGTTTTGGGAACCTACCTGTGTGTAATTGTGTGATTTAGCTCTTAAAAAGGAAATCCTGAAGAAAGGGAAGTAGAATATCCAAAGCAGGTCATTTTAGGCATTCCATTTTTTTAAAACTTGAACTTTCATTGTTTGTTAACCTGTTAGAGTTTGGAAAGTTGTGTAAACCCTGCTTGTAGATAAATGTAGATCTAGGTTTTCTTAATAAAGCAAGCCCTACTCTATGAGAAAAAGAAATTGAAATTGATCCAAAATGCATTTTTTCAGTGTTCCAAGTCCTTGGTGGAAGTCAATCCCAAGGTTTGTACAAACACACATTCATACACAGGGACTACCTTCTCAGTGACACTGTAATCCTGTACTAGTTCAGAAAAATATTTCTTTCCATTTTCTAATCAATCTCAGATACAGAAATTGGAAGCCATTTGTGCACCCTCTTCTGGAGGCAAAAAAATTGGACAAAGATGGTTGAAAGACTTCCCTGACCTGTTGCTACCAGAATGGTACTATGAATAGAAAGGTGGTTGGAGATCCACAAGATTCCCTGGATCCATTAGGAGTTGTGATACAGAACTGAGAAAGAATGAAAAGCCAATGTTTAGCAAGTGAGGAAATAGGAAAAGGCCCTTCTGATGTTCAGCTTGGGAGCTGTGGAGAGATCTGGGCAAGAACTGGGCAGAAGATCCTGGAGGAGAAAACCATCCTTTCAGAAACTGAGCCCTGGAACTTCAGGAGCTTCCAATACAAAGAGGATGAGGGTCCCCGAGGGCTTTGCAGCCGACTGCACTACTTTTGTAGGCAATGGTTGAGACCAGAAAAGCACACAAAAGCGCAGATGCTGGACCTGGTTGTTCTGGAGCAGCTCCTGGCCCTTCTTCCCCTGCAGATGGAGAGCTGGGTGCGGGAGTGTGGAGCAGAGACCAGCTCCCAGGCGGTGGCCCTGGTGGAAGGCTTCCTCCTGAGCCAGGCGGAGGAGAAGAAGAAGACGACTGACAGGCAGGTGAGAGACCTTCATTTGGGAACTCTGAAGTGGTTAGATCTAATAAACTGTGTTTGAATTCTTAACCCTTGCCTACCAGGGTCTTTGCATTTATCATATGTGGAGATACTCTGATAATTCTTGTAGGACATTGTTCTGTTATTAGTGATAGTCGTTCCTTTCCTGTGTTCCAACTTCACTTGATGGATTTCTGGGGCTTTGGAGTGGTGTTCACAGAAGAATCCACTTCTTGGTGTGTATTGTCCATTCATTCTTCTTCTTGTTTCCTGTCTACTTTTTCAAGTCCTTCATGTTGGAGATCAGAGATCCTGGGTGGAGGCATCCATCAAATTCACCTCCAGAAATGTTTTTCAAGAGGATCTCTCAGGATGATCCAAATCAAGACCCAATCAGAGGTAATACAAGGCTGTCCCATTCCCCAGAGTGATCTCAACTATCTCATCTTCTATACGTCTTCTCTTCTATAGAACACCACTTCCTACATTATTAACTATGCAGTTTAAAATTATCTCTCCCTCACAGGGAAGAATAGAAGGAAGCTGGCCCTCCCTGATGTTGAAGCTGAAACAGAGGTTGAAACTCCAATTCAAGTAAGAAGAGGAAGTTTATTTATTAGATTTGTAGCTTTTTTAAGACCAGTACTTTAAATAATTGCTAATTGTTGCCAATCATTATAATAATTGTACTAATGCTAATTACCCACTTTTCAAATAATACTTTATGATGCCCATTTTAAAAAAAATTCTTTAACTTGGATTTGTGCAAGGATGCTCAAAACTGACTAAATATTCCCACTGGCAATTACTATTTTTTAAAAAATCTTTCTAGCATGCAAAGTAAATTCTGATGCAAAGTAAATTCTGATGCCTTGATTTGTGCCTGAATTTAGAAGCCAAACTATTCAGCTTTGCAAAGGCTAAGAAATGTCCTTCTCGAGAAATTTATTTTGCTTTGTTACCTTTCATTCAGTCAATGTCTAGGACTACAAATAGCTTCTTACAATTTAAGGAGGACTAGAACCAAATTCCTCACTGAGTTCTCCAACACCTCTCATGAAGGTGTTAAGGATAGACAGGACTGCTGCTTCTTGGTATATAATGAGCCACTTACTAAATACTGCAAAATAATCCACACACACAATGATTCCTACATTTCCGTTGCGAAAATAAGAAGGATTGGAGTCATTGATATGTGGGGTTTCTAAGATCCATCTGCCAATTGATTCTCTCCAGAAGTCTTCTAATGGTAGACAGATGAATGAATGGTAGATTAATCGATACAAAAGAAATTGGGGTTATTTTCACTGAAAGGCTTTGATAATCCTGGAGAATCAATAAAATTGATAAAACCTACCCATAACATTTCTTCAATGAAAAGCTTTTACTCTGTCCGTTTTCTCACATAAATCCTGGAATACAAACAAGCACAGCCGTTTACCTTAGTTACTGCACGGCTTTGTTTTGGGAATTTATAAACAATAGGACTGTTTTTTTGCAATTTCTTCTGGGCCTTTTGTGTACTTTTTCCCCTGTCAGGAGGACCTTGTCTCCTTCGAGGAGGTGGCTGTGTATTTCTCCGAGGAGGAATGGTCTCTGCTGGATCCTCACCAAAAAGCGCTGCATTGGGAAATCATACTGGAAAATTACAGCAACGTGGCCTCTCTTGGTAAGAGTTTCCTATTCTCTAGTCAGAGTTCAGGAAGACATTTGTAGTTATAGGCTGTTCATGCATATAGAAATTATTATTTATGCCATGCCATTGTAAGCATGTAAACGTTTAATATATTGGAATCTGGCAAATATCAGAAAGCAATTATTATGACTTCCAATTATTTGATCTTTTTCTTTAACCTTGCTATCATATTTATTTCTCATTCCCCTTCAAGGTGATAATGGGCAGGACCATAAAGAGTCTCAGGAATCATTCCAAGGGTCCAGACATGAAGATGCAATGGAGAAGCCTGTAATTCAAATGAAATTCCAAAGGCAGGAGAGAAATCAGTCAAATAATTGGAATAAGGAAAGCTCATCTTCCATTGATGCTCACATGAAGGAGTTTCT